GAGCGCTCTCCAAACCTTGATGTTATGGGTATAGAATAAAGAGCTTGATGTAATTTGGCTAACTAGATGGTTATATAAAGAACAATAATAGACCGGGGCCAAGCACAGAACTTTGTGGCACACCGCATCCGACGTGAATTGGGTCTGACATGAATTCACGCACTCTCACATACAGACGCCTGTGCGAAAGAAAATTGCACCCCCCCCCCCCCCGAAGACAGGGTCCCCAATGCCACATCCTTGAAGTTTGGCGAGTAGGATACGATGGTCAAACCGGTCGAATGCCTGAGAGAAATCAAGGTAAGCCACATCAACTCCGGCAACAGCATCCACCGTTTCGGTCCTACTGTCTCGCGTAACAATAGGTTGGTGTTGCACGACAGTGTTGTTGCTGAGCAATGTGACCAAAATCGTCCAGATAAGACAAGAGCGTGTCGGCAATGATAGCCTCCATAACTTTTGAAAGAACTGGCAAAATAATCACTGGTCGATAATTAGCTAGTAGTTTTTACTATCCGTTTTGTAAATTGAAACAATTATCCGTTTTCACATTGCAGAAACGCGCCTCTTGTAAAGTCAGTGCTAGAACAGCCGCGCTAAGGGTTCAGCCAAAACACTAGCCGTCACAAAAAGCGTCTCTGGGCGGATGCCGTAAATTCCAGGACAAAAGTGCAGCCGCATGGAGAGAAGCTTTGGCATCACGGTGCAGTGTTCGTGGAAGCACCATAGTTCCCAAATGTTCAGGAGACAATGGGATGCAACGAAACGTTAGTGCATATTGTTGCTGTAGAACAATCGACGGTTCCTAGGCAATCCGAATCAGACCATTCGGTGTCAGAAGAGGAGGAAATCAACTTTTCACCTTGCGAAGGCAGTTCACTTGCTTGTACAGGGAAGTATGATTTGAAGTAAATCGCCCCGCTAAAGTCTGACAACAAGCTACTTTGTCCTCTCGTGAGTCCTCGTCGAGTTCGATCTGCTAGTAGGCGTGTCTGCTCGTGGCCTTAAGGATCACAAGCCTGTCTTGTAATCCGAGGGTGCCGGTTTGAGCCTGCATAGGGGACCGGGCTGCCATCGCAATGTCCTTAGCCCACGCGCGACTGCTGGTGACTGCGCGGCAGCGAAGCGTCGGTACTTCGCACTGATGCGCTGCTGATTCCTTTAGTCATGACTCAGGTCTAGTTTCGTAAGACATCCGCCACATGAGTGAGAAGCAAAGATGTCTTCAATCTTTCGTAGTGAGTATCGGTCCGGGTGTAGTATTTGGTTGACTGTAATCTTGCTGTCCCCACAGATCCTTATGGCACTATTCCTCCTTAATACATTTTCTACTGGAACATTGTTTCAGGTGAGCAAAGTTTCAAGCTTTTGAGCAACTAAGTGTATCGCCTCCTTTTGTCTTTTCGCATATTTCTTGCAAATAGCAATTGAAAGATTCGCGGTGATCATTGCCGAGGTCGTCGATCACCGACGAGTAGAGGGTACGCAAGTGCTCCAGTTCAGGGAGTCGACATTGGATGGCTTCCAGCAGGTTATGAGCATATCTCTTGAGAGACTTGGTATTTGGACGAATGTGGATTCGTCGAAGCGATTTCCAACAAGTCTTTGGATACTGGTTAGGTTCTATGCAATCTTGGATGAAACGGATCTCAGTCCTCGCATCAGAAATCCAGGCGTTAAACCTCAAGCACTTGTTGAGGTCACTAAAGGCTTTGGGTCGCTTGCATTTTTCCAGTTCATAAATTGTCCCTACGTGAGTCAAAAGTAAGCAAATGTGCGAAAAATATTATTTTCGATAATTCACATCGGGCATATACAATTATGAATCAAAATATTGGAGGGAATAAAGCTCGTAGAGGCTTGTACAGAAACCAACCAACTTATAAACCAGGCAGTATGAAAACTAAGTCAATGGTTTGATCAATCAGACTTCGCATTAGGAAGCACGTGATCAAGGGAGGTCAGGTCCTCACAGCCCTTTATCGTTTTCGTGCCGCTGGCCCGGATTCCCTACCACCTGCACTATTTAAGGATGGAGGTGAGGTCCTCTGCAGGGCACTGACCTCCCTATTCGAACGTATCTGGAACGAAGAGAGTGTGCCGGCTAATTGAAGCGAATCGATTATAGTGGCAATATACAAAAAGGGCAGTCGCGCAGACTGTGCGAACCACAGGGGTATTAGCCTAACGCCAGTTGTGACAAAATTACTGGCCTCGATTATCGTTCGTCGCCTCACTGCAGAACGGGAATCTCGGATTAGGGAAGAGCAGGCCGGTTTTCGCCTAGGACGTGGCTGTATAGACCATATATTTACTTTACGGCAGGTGCTAGAGCAGCGCCACGCATACCGCAGACCGACAATAGCTGTGTTCCTCGATTTCAAGAGTGCGTTCGATTCAGTCGATCGATCGATTCTGTTCGAATTACTTGCGCGAAAAGGTGTTCACACGAAATATGTGAACATCCTTTGTGCTCTATACTCGAACATTAGAGGCCGCGTCAGGGTCTATGGTGCCCTATCGGATAGCTTTTCGACTACAAGTGGCGTTCGTCAGGGTTGCCCGATTTCCCCATTTTTGTTCAATTTTGTCGTGGATTCTATCATGGAGTGTTCCCTTGCGGAATCTCATGATGTAGGCGTTGAAGTGCTGCCTGGTGAAAGGTTAGTTGATCTAGATTATGCGGACGATATCGTCTTGCTTTTCGACAATGTTGAGGCGGCACAATCAACCCTGAATAGCCTATCCAGAGTGGTCCCATTATTTGGTATGCACTTCGCCCCTTCAAAGTGCAAAGTGTTGCTGCAGGACCACCAGCCACTCGATGACCCCTTGACGCTTGCTAACGAGGAACTCGAGGTGGTTGATCAATTTACTTATCTTGGCAGCTGCATCAGCAATGATGGGCGCATAGAAACTGACGTCAGCTCACGCATTGCAAAGGCCAGAGCTGCCTTCTTGAACCTGCGTCATCTTTGGCGACAGAAGGGAGTTTCCCTCCGTCTGAAAGGCCGTGTATACAAGGCCACAGTGAGGGCCGTTCTGCTCTATGGTAGTGAAACTTGGCCCCTTCGGTCTGAAGATCTGAGGCGCCTTCAAGTCTTTGATCATCGTTGTTTGCGAAGCATTGCTGGTGTCGGATGGCACCAGTGTGTCCGCAACGATGATGTGCGTAGGCGAGTACTAGGTGGTGATGATCATGCTAGCTCCCTAGAACAACAGATAGCACTGAATAAGTTACGTTGGCTCGGGCACGTGCTACGCATGCCTGGTCACCGCTTACCTAGGAGGGCCTTGTTCAGTCTACCAGGTGTCGGATGGCGCAAGGCTCGAGGTGGACAGAAGTTGACTTGGCAGCGAGAAATGAAGTCACTGACGATCAAACTGGGTGCCGTTGGTCCGTCTCGCCTTCCGGGTTGGAGTCCACGTGACTCACCTTGTGCTTGGCTCGAGACTTTACAGGACATGGCTCGTAACCGACACCAGTGGCGCGTCTGCTGCCGTCTCCTAATCGGATTGTCTGTTTAAAGTGTGTTTGGTGCTGAGTTATCTGCGGGGTAATGGCTGATTATGACGCGTGGCAGTGAAAGCCGCAAGGAAGCTGTCTCGCCGATGCCGCCATAGCTTTGCACGATAGCCAGCTGTTTGTGACGGCATGTTGTCTACACAAGGTGTAGGCGCCTTGACCCAGAATGTTTGCTTAGGGCATTAAGGTTTTCAGGCAAGTCCCCCTTATCTCCTTATTATTCTTTATTTCATAGGTCCTCATGGTTGTATGGCAGCGAAGCATCAGTTCAAATGGCTGATGTACTGCTGTTGTTGATGATGATGATGATTATGATGATATGTCAGGTCCAAGGCCAAGGCAAGTTCAGAGCCTGCATCAACGTGCGCTGTTTGCACAGCTCTGGTTTCAAAACCTTGATTGTAATGGCTTCAGAGATCGTCAACAGTTTATTAAGCGATTTTTGATAGCCTTTAGAGATGGTAAAAACGACTGGTTCATCTGGACTTGATGTCCAGTGTCAATCAAGTGTTGTAAAACTGAACTGTTGATGGATTTTACGGTGCCTTTTCGTAGTGACGCGGGACAATACTCATCGATTCTTTTGGATAAACACCTTGTCGCATGTCCAAAATACCTAGCACCACAGGTGCAGGTGAACTGGTATAAGACAAACGATTCGGACCGTACCGGGAATTTATCGTTTAAGCGCTGAAGAATCATTGGTCTTTCTTCGGCAAGTAGTTTTAGATTGGCGGCTGGAAATGTCTTGGCCACTGCCGTCGAGATTCCTCTATTCAACAGTTCGAACGCGACGTCACTTTTAAAGGGAACTGTAAGGAATACATCCTTTTTGGGCATTGTAGCGACACACCTGACAGCATCAGGTTGTTTGGAATGCATTTTGATGTAAGGCACAGGGTACCGTTTTCTTGCAGCGTGTTATAGATGAGCTTGGTTTCGCTTTCCAGTATCTCTGGACTGCAGATTGCTCTGGCACGATGACATAACCAACGAACTAAATTCCTCTTGTACCTCAGTGGTACAAAGCTAAGAAAGGCTTGTGATCCTTAAGGCTACAGGGATTCGACATGTAATGAAAAAAACATTCTACTACTTGCTAAACCGAAGCACAAAAGTCCTTCATATTGCCAGCAGTCTGAACCGATATCGCATACTACAGTGGAATTACGAGGCGTCAGTCACGGTGAAGCAACGGGATTAAACAACTCGGTCCAAAAAAAGTTGGACGGCCTTGTCGGACTAGAAACGGAAATCCGTTGCTAAGGTCGGCCATCACTTTAACTCACAATGTCAAAAGCAGCACTATCATCGAAAAGAAAGTAAACTCAATAGTGCTGCAGAAGCACTAAACTGAGTGCTAAAAGATCGCATTGTGAACCAAAGGCACAGATAACAAATTCAGTATCTCCATACACGTATGAAATAAAACATGAGAGTAGAGTATGGAGAAATTTGGAGAAACACCACTCACCTAATTGTATGAGTTACCCCGTTTTTCCTTTCCACAAGCACAATAGTACCCGGATCCATAAAAGTAGAAGAAAAATCCGACAACCGTCTTTCAAAAAGCAACGGCAGCTCTGATTCGACCGCGTTTCGTAACGTTAGCAGCCGTTCCGTCCGCGAATCCTTAGCAGGTTCATTGGCCGCAAACATAACATGATCAGGTGGAAGTGGAATTACGCTAGTGCGCGATTTATAGGAACTCTTGGGAACAGGAGGTTGAGGAAGAGCAATGTATCTGTGGTAAAGGAAACCAGAGGAAATACAAGCCAACAGGATCGAATGCCTGCGCCAGCGATTGAGAAAGTTGCATTTTTTGGAGTAATTCTCTTCAATAAGAGTCTGCAAGGAAGTTACACGGCGAGACATGATGCGGGCATATTTGACAGCTGAAAAGAAATATGAAATGTGACATTACACAATTTCAAGTGAATTTTAAAGTGTGGAGAAAGTGACGAAAGGTGGTCCCCGATGTGAAATAAGAAGTAGCCCCCGTTGTGTGTTAGTGGCGTGTGGGAAATTATAAAGGCTAGACAGTCTCGGTGCTCTCCAAGCTCTGTTCTTATGAATTTGAATACATGCAAGAAGGCTCTGTGCTGACCCCAAGTACCTGTAAACACTACATTTACACAGTCCATAGTGACGATAGCAACTGCTTACCTTTTCACATAGTCCAAAAAATGCGATTCCAAGTCTATTAACCGTGAGGATAGGACGCCCAGCTGGAAAGTATCGTTTCCACTGGGTCATTCAGTCACAGTAAAAATTAAATGCCATCGAAACTCGGTGTACTCCATAAATCACAGGTGTGCATGAAGCGACGAGAAAAAACAGAACGTAGGGAAATGTTTTCAAGCACAATCTTAAAAGGGTGGCGATGTTAAGTTAACCGAATTAAAAGGGATAAATGTTTGCACTAAATTGATAAGGTCATTGTCGATATGTTCGCATACAAGTACGGATGGATAGTATAATAGTAAGGACAGGGATGTGTAAGGAAAGGTGAAAGCACCGATGGGTGCAAAGCCTGATAACATCATCGCACAATTGACCCGTTTCCAAGTAATCGAGCAGGATGATGTTGATGGGGAATTTACTTGATTACACTTTGAGATAAGCTACCATGCAAAAATGCTTGAAGGTTGATACAATACTCATCATTATCATCAGTATTATACACGTTAGCTAGAGGTCGGGAACACCTCAGCTACTGTGCCGCAGTACATAAAGGAAAAAGGGGGGAAAAGCAACTGGTGCAAGCTCGCTGAGCTACCGGTAACGGATGGGCATCGTTCCCGTAAGCTACCAGCCGGCTACTGTGCATCAAAAAAAATTACTATGCAAAATTATATAACGCTACATAGTGAGATCGTTGTTGGAGGGGGAGGCTAAGAGGGATGGGGTGGGACAAAGAAACTCACAGCACGAACGCCACTGAGGTAAGCTCCTAGCCATATCAACAAGTGTATCCAGCCAAACGTGTTCATCATCTTTCGGACCCCAACCAGGGAGCCGAGAAGCTCCAACCGAGGCCAGCTCAGAAGTGAGGGCCTTCATTCCTCTCAACCAAGTCATCTGTTGGTCACCTCTCCTCTTTTTCCATCCACACCCCCGACCCGCAAACAACGCACGTCGCGGGAGTCGGTGGGCTGGCATGCGTAACACGTGGCCCAGCCATCGGAGCCTGGTGCATGAAATAACGGTGCTGAGCGGTTCAGTTCCTTTTCCTGTGCCGTAAACGAGGCGTCGAACACGCACGTTGCTCACGCGGTGTTCCCACCAGATGTGAGCTAAATTACGAAGGCACCGGTGGTCGAACGTAACTAGCCTCTTCAGGTCCGCTGCTTTAAGCAGCCAGATTTCACAACCGTACAGTAGGGTCGAACGTACCGCTGCATTGTACACTCTACCCTTCAGCGCAAGAGTGATGTCGCGCCGCCGCCATAAGTGGCGAAGGTTAGCAAAAGCGCCCCGAGCTTTTTCTATACGGTTCGTGATCTCATCTTCAATCCCACGGGCGCTGATACAACTGCTCAGGTAGTTGAATTTTTGAACGACTTCTAGCTGATCCCCACCAACGGTCAGCGTAGGAGGCGGTCCAGACCAATCTTGGAGGAACGTTTTGCACTTCAAGGGTGCAAAGCAAAGCCCGAAGTGACGGACAGCTAGTGCTAATCTGTCCAGTGCCGCTTGGCACGTCTGGGAGCTGTCACAGATTAGGGCAATATCATCAGCATACTCTAAGTCAAGAAGTCGTTCTCCTGGGAGCAGATGCACACCTTCTAAGTCGTGTCCTGTAAACGCGATTTCCATGACTTCATCAATAGCGAAGTTGAAGAGGAAAGGTGACAGCGGGCATCCTTGGCTCACAGCGCTGGAGATATTAAAGGGTGACGACAGCTTGCCGTAAGCCCTCACTCTGCTTGAGCTACGCGCATATAATGCTCGGATACTATTTACATATTTCTCAGGTACAACTTTCCTGAGTAGACAGTCCCAAAGTGCACGTCTACCCACCGAATCGAATGCACCTTTGATATCGAGAAACACGACAACGGTGGACCGCCAATATATGTGACGGTGTTCCAACAACTGACGCAAAGTGAAGATGTGGTCAATGCAGCCACGACTTCGACGAAATCCGGCTTGCCCTTCACGAATCTGGCTTTCACGAGTGCCAGTCAGTCTGTGAAGGATAACGAAGGCAATTTTTCTATATTACAGTACCATTTGATTCTCCTTTTTTTTAACTCGTCTGACGTTTCCAGTATTTCCTTTTGATACAATACATGAAACGTCAAACGAGTTAAAAGAAGAATCGAAGGGTACTACAATAGAAAAAAATTAATCAGGATGGGTGCACGAGATCAAACGGGTGAGCAACGTTGACTCTGGAACTGCGTCATGCCAGATAAGATCAGCAATTGTTGATGTGGTTGTCTCATAAATCTACATGCAGTCCGACGACATAGCATACCTGTCAATTGCATTATATCTTTGTACCGTATAAACGGTTAATCAACTCGCGCTCTCACTCAACCAAAGGTGGCAGACAGAGACGGGTGGACAGTGAGCCAAGAAAGCGACCCAACCGACGTGAGCTATACGAGTTCAAAAGATATGCTAATGCGATACTAGTGAGTCTGGTTCAAGGCATAAACTGGTAGACATCAGTACTGAACATTCGCTGCTCCTACCTGCTGTGCGCACGAGTAAGCAATTACCGATAAAAGGTGCTCAGTGTAAAGAGATCATATTGCTGACCAATACATTGACACAGGTCGTATTGAAGTGCTGTACAGATCATGATAAAAGAATGCCACTGGTATGAAACTGATGCGGATGAGCCCGGTACGGCTTCTAGACCTGATGCCTGAAGTGCGAAAATATACGTGAAAAGTGATTGATGATTTGAAACTGCTGAGAATACCCGTAGCCGGGATGTGATTCATGTGCAGCAATCACATCAACTGACATCGACCTGGTGAACAAAACTAGGCGGTCTTACTGGAAGAATACACATCGTTTGGTACACGCAATAAAGCCCGTGCAAGAAAAATGATGGAATTGTTGGGATTCTATCTAACAACGCATTTCACTCCCAATGGCCAGATGTACAAGCAAATAGAAGGTATAACAATTGAGTCGCCGATGTTCTGATTGGTAACCGAGGCAGTGGTGTAGATGCTGGAATGAACAGTACTTCGTACAGTGAAAAGAAAAATTGGTGTATATTACGCGGAACAAACCTCTGTCATCTTTCTCTACGATTCCTCTGTGGAATTGTTAACACATGCCTTTGGCTACATACATCCAATTTCCACACGCTTTGCTACGGTCCCAGGGATCGAATTGGCCAAGGCTAGCTCCAATGTGAATCACTGTAATTGTTCGTCATTGTAATTGTAATCGTTATCTTGTAATTGTAAACAGCTGTAATTGTTATCATGCTGAGCTATCCACGCAAGATTTTCAAATCGCTGTAAGTTTCCGCAATCACAACGGCCACGTTATAAGAAATAAATTGAAACGAATTGACAAGAAGTGCACTCAGTTCTGCTAACACTGTACAGTAGAACTAAGTACACGCGAATCTGTTTTCGGGACTACAACAACAGATTCGGCTGTGTAAACAGCGAATCGCTGTTGAAAAATCAACCCGGTGCTGGAACACACTTCCATCATCCTCGTACTGAAAGATTAGCTTGCTGGTCGTACTCAAGTATTGGAAACTACCTCCCGCTTCCGCTGCCTTTGGAGTGTGATGTCGACTGATCAGCAGCTTCATGGTGCGCTTCGTATCCGCATGTCGAAGGCAGCGGCGGCATTCGGGAAGCCTGAGTACCGAGTGTGGAACAACCATCAGCTTACCATTGGCACGAAGCTGATGGTGTACAAATCCATGGTGCTGTCCGTTCTTCTATACAACAGTGAAACTTGGACGATGTACCGGCGGGATGTGCGATATCTCGATCGGTTCCATCAACAGTGTTTGCGACAGATTCTGTGCATCAGATGGGGCGAGATTTGCGGACACGGAAGTGTTGCGTCGTAGTGGAATGTATGCAGTGGACTGCATACTTTTGCTGATACACCTGAGGTGGCTCGGTCATGTGTGGCGTATGGATTCGACTCGGATACCGAAACAACTCTTATATGGTCAGCTGAGTATTGGGAAGCGGCATGTGGGGAAACCAAAGTTACGTTATCAGGACATGATCAAAGTGAGCCTCTCACGTTCTAATCTTGATTTCAGGTCATGGGAATCGAAGGCGGTTGATTGGCGTGCACGGCGCGATCTGATCACGAAGGCAGTTGCCGAAGTGCGGGAGAATGACCTCATACATGCAGAGAAGAAGCAGCAAGTGCGGAAACGGCAAGCACCGATGGAATGTACTCCATCGACATCGAGCGCATGGTGCTGTAGTACATGCAGGCGCGAGTGCCTGAGTTAGGCAGGCTTAGTGAGCCATGAGCGAGGCCACTCGGGACCACTACCGAAGCGCCAACGGGTTCTGCAGAGAATGTAGGCAGAACCAGCGCAGCGTTTGTAGGTACGCTGCATTCGATTTACTAACTACGTGCTTGCATGCTAAGTCTTTATTTTAGGTGGTGGGTTTTCAATTTTGTGCTAATGTTATTCGTTCACATAGTAATGTCTACCTGAACCATCTTATATAGACTTGCACACGTCGCTGAAGCTAATTGTAGGTAACTTCGATAACATTTTCGCGTTTGTGGCATTTTCTTAAAATATATCTGCGTACGTCTTGAACTTATCGGGGATTCGTTCGTAAAGAATTTATTTTATACCCCCATTTATTGAAGAGTTTTGTCATCCTATCTGTATGCCTTATCCGAGTTATTCTCTTTCACCTTGTTGTTTCAAA